ATTGTGAATAGTTTTATAATTTCTGTACATTCAATTTGATTATAAATGCAAGAAATCTACAGTCAATGTTGATACAAAACGAAGTAAGATGTGGACAAGTCTCATATTAATTACAAAAATTGCTATGAAAAAATCATAGTGTTTCTGTACTTAAGTAGAAAATTATTAATGTCGATAAATTAACAAGCAAATAACAATGTATTTTGGGCTACCTGTGTCAAGTCCAGCGGCTGTCCAATATCCGATGAGTAGGGGGCGGAGCAGGATATCAAACAGGCGGTGCAAATTATCGCCGGAAGTACGTACCGAGTGCGAAACATTTTACGTTCGACTGCGAGACGAGGGATTTCACGCTGTGACTGTCTACACGTGGACTGTTACGCGTATATTGAAACCGTAAACGCGTGGATTCTGACGGGATTCCAGTTCGTTATCTACAACGCGTTACTCATGGGGGATTGTAGAAGTCCAAATGGACGTACACTCCTGTCCATAAACTACTGGACAGTTAACAGAAACCATAGTCGAATGGAACGTAAATATCAGTACCTCTGAACTCTAAATCTCTTTCTCTCTCTCTCTCGTATTGATAATCTCATAACCTGGACTTCTAATTGAAATATAAGAATGCCATATTTTTTTATTCAATCCTAAAATCTAGAAAGTCCTAAAGAATGTCAGCTTGTTTATAATTAAGCAGAAATAAGTTTGATCAAATATAAATTCCATATCAGTTTTTCGATTGAGTACTAAAATACAAAAGATATTATAATTTAAATACTTATAAAGTTTTAATTGATACAATTTTCGTTTAACAATGTATACAGTTTCTGTGTAATATAATTAATATGATTCTTCTAATAATAGAATTAATTCCTACAGTTCCTGAATGAAATAAGATCTTGTCTATTTTAATTGTTGCAATCTTTGTGCAAATTGATTTAAGGAGTTCTGATATAACATAATTAATATAATTCTTTTATAATAAAATTGATTGATACATTTTTGGTTTGAAATAATTGATACAGTTAATGCATAATATGAAATGTTATTCAATTATGATTGTATTCTGAAGACTGTTCAGTAGCTTATAGACAGGAGTGTACGCGTGTATATAGTATATTGAACGGACAGCCCATAAACGCGTGCTCGTGCTTAAATACCCATGGCTCGGTGTGTTTGCCGGCCCTCCTATTTATATACACGATACTCCCCGTAAAGCGTGTTTGTCTTCCACGCTCGGCTTCTTGAGAATTACGACGCGAAATCGAGCTGCTTGTAATGATGTAAATTCACGACGTGGTTAATATGCGAGTAAATGTGTGGAAAATGTAAACTGGAGAGGTAACAATTTTGATTTCTAACTCTGACCTCACTGCCCACGTAACTCATTGGATTCTGGTGTAATCTACACACAGCAACAATATTGTTTATGTATGTATGTGGAGCCAAAATCGATAATTTATACTTATATCAATGCATTAATTATACATTAAGCGTTCCTGCCAATAATAGAAGAGCAATTAGAATTTAGCATTATTAATATATTGACATATGATAGTACATTTAATAATATACTTCACAGTATTTTAATAGATTTTAATAATAAAGCACGTGTGCAAGAAGTTCTGTTTTAGTTCTCATCATTTAAAGCTAGTGATTCTGTCGAATGGTTGATAGTCTTTAATTGGGTCAACTCGCGACATTGATACCTTAATCCGCGAACAAAATGATTTCAAAGGTCTTATTTGTTCCCGTTATTAGCCGCGAACTGCATAAATGCGTGTTGATCTTCGCCTGTTTATCATGTCGATAAAAGTTATAATTACAGGGTTTTACGTACGATAATTCGGATTTACGAGCCGATCGACTGCCCTCGTCCAACTCGGTTCCGATAAATGTTTACCCAGCCAAACTTCGAGAGAACTATTAAGCGGAGTAAGGATAAGAATAATAGATGGTATTTGATTCGAGATAAGTAACGATGAAATCAATTGAGGATATTGCAGTAAGAAGGGTGCTCTATTTCCAGCAGCTCCGAGTAAATGATAAGAAACCGTTTACAGAATTATTGCCGATTTAATATTAAAATGAGAACACTAATTCGAATGTACTAAGTGGATTAGTGCTTGCTTCAATGTCTTCAATTCATATAATTATTAATTTCCTAATTTTACTCACACTCTAGATTTATTTAATATGGAAAACTTGTTATTTCTTTTATTATGCAAATTATGAAAAACTTTGTGCAAATGTACATGAGAAAATAGAACCTCAATTTTGCGACATCTTGAAGAGCAACAAGAATAGAATTCTTATTCAATCGTTTTGTCGATCTTTTGTTTCCGGAACGTGATCCTTCTTCGAAGGGCCATTCGAGCGGATAGCGTTACGGTCCGGTTTAATTTATTTGCCATCATTATTACGTCGTGATTAAACCGACCGTCTCGATTGTCCGGGGAATTCCACGCCAGCAGGGTTCTGACTTTCGGTTTAATTAAAAAAACGTGATCACCGTTTTCAGAAGTCCCTTGGTTACTCCCGCGCGTACACGTTCTTTGTGTTCTCTGTCTTCCTCTCTCTTTGTGGTAGGAATCCCTTTCGAGGTTTTCCCTGATATTTCCGGCAATCAACTGGAAACGTTTTCCTATTCTCGCCAATTTGTTTTCATTCGCTCGAACGGTCTTAAATTAAGGAAAACCGTAATGTTTGTACGACGGACGAATGTGGTCGTAAAATGAGAGCTTTATAGGTTGGTAGTCGAGCGTACAAGTGTTTGTACGCATATGTACGTACGAGGTTCTAAATGAAATTGCGGTAATTTATCGTACGTTTTCCATATAACGACCGATACGTTGTGATTTTAGCTTGCTATAACGGCCAATTTCGAAACACTTTAAGCTTTTCATTTCGCGGCTGACGGGTATTAATAGAAAATTTTTAAGTAGCAATTAAATTTTTATTAGCTTCCACGGCGTAATACAGTTTATGAGATTGAGAGTTAGTTAATAAAAATTGTTATGTAAAAATAACAAAACTTCTTGGTTCATTAGAACAGCTTATGAAAATGAAATTAAGGGTTTGCTAAAATGTTAGAATGCATTAATTAAATAAGGTTCATCAAATAGAACATTTATATACATCTAATATCTTCAAGCAATATATGAATAATTAATTATTTAATATGATTGTTCTTATTCATTTATCCTATATAATAGAACGAGATGTTCTAAAAGCAAATAAAAATTGATATTTTAATAAAGAATGAAAGAAATATAGGAA